AAAAACAGAGGAAGTAAGTGTTGAAAAGTTCACACATTTCCTTATCACTGTAAGTGATCTGACCCGAGTTACTCTTAAGTGGGCCTATCTTGTCCTAATCTTACTTCTATATACCTGAAAGAACACTTTTGGGTTAGTCTTCGAATCCCTTGTGACTTTAGCCTCATAATTCCTTTTTGCTTTTCTTATTCCTTTTTTAATTTCTCACTTTAAATGAATATACTGATTTCTTAACTACCCATCCCCTCTTTTGATATGCCTATATATGACTTTTGACCAATGAGATGTTTTAATCTATTGTTTATCCATTTGAGATCATTTCTGTTAGATCTAATTTACCTACTCGGAACAAAAGTTGCCTGGGCAGCTAGCACTAAGTTCTGAAAAATGTCATATGGTACTTTTACTGATGTTGGTAGGTAATTATAGCTGTGGTGGTGGCAGGCGAGTTGTGGGACCTGATAGCTGTGGAACTGACTGTCATATGTTATACAGGTATTGTAGGTTACATAAACACTCCACACATTTCTGAATCAACAAGTAACAACTATAATAAAAGGAATGCAATATGATTATACTGCATTCAAATCTTAACGAATTACAGAGCTTCAAAAAAATTTTTGCATTTTCTCTGGAGGGGAAGAGTCCAATGAACATAACCCTATTTTCCCACATGTTCTTCAGTTCATTCTACACAATTCTTTTATTTACCTGCAATTTTCGAGAAAGTAACTCGTGTTAATTGACGGTCAACTGTACTTTGTATGAACCAGGTACATAAAAGGGCAATTCATTTTTAAACAACCAGTTACATAATTACTAGGTAGTAGGTTGGCAGACAGCAACCGCCCAGGGAGGTACTACCGTACTGCCATGTGAGTGTGAAACGGAAGCCTGCATTCATTTTACATGATGATAGCAAGCAGGCCTCAAGGGAGGTTCCTTGACGCTGGCGATGGGCTCTTCCACTTGATCTAGGGAATTGGATCTCAGTTGTGTGCTGGACTACCTTATTGAAACTTGGGCAATGTATGATGGAAAGATGCCTCTTAACATACACCATAATTGAAATAAATCGGACCATAAATAACGGAGTTCACTTCTCAGCCATTAGCCACCCTTTAGTGGTATACTTTCCTATGGTTTTTTTTTGTTGTATTCTCATGCTTTTGGTCTCATTTGATAGAATGGAAGATACATTACAGAATTTTTTCATTATTATTAACACATCGGCCAATTCCCACCAAGGCAGGGTGGCCCAAAAAAAGAAACTATCATCATTCACTCCATCACTGTCTTGCCAGAGGGGTGCGTTACACTACAGTTTATAAAACTGCAACCCTCCTTCAGACTGCAGACACTGTTCTTCCCATCTCCAGGACTCAAGTCCAGCCTGCCGGTTTTGCTGAATCCCTTCATAAATGTTACTTTGCTCACACTCCAACAGCAAGTATTAAAAACCATTTGTCTCCATTCACTCCTATCAAATACACTCACGCATGCTTGCTCGAAGTCCAAGTCTCTCTGACACAAAACCTTTACCCCCTCCCTCCAACCTTTCCTAGGCCGACCTCTACCCCACCTTCCCTCCACTACAGATTTATACACTCTTGAAGTCATTCTGTTTTGTTCTATTTCTCTCTACATGTCCAAACCACCTCAACAACCCTTCCTCAGCTCTCTGGAGAACAATTTTGGCAAACCCGCACCTCCTCCTAACTTCCAAACTACGAATTCTCTGCATTATATTCACACCACACATTGCCCTCAGACATGACATCTCCACTGCCTCCAGCCTTCTCCTCACTGCACATTACAGAAACAGATGTGATTTTGATTGGTTTCATTATGAAAAGTACCTTGAAACCGAGCTCAAAGCAGCACAAATGTTCGATTCTTTGGCAACATTCCAATACCTGTCCGAATGGGCATTCCAATACGCAGTCATGAATGGGTTGACATCATTTATACAATTACATATTACAATAATGCAGTAGTCTGCATAACAGTAAATCTATTTTTTTGTGTGAATAAAAATTCCAAATGGTAAGCAAGAGTATTATTATAAGAATACGTAGCTACTAATAAATAATAATAACACATAATAATTATATAATAATATATGTAATATACTAGGTAGTGGGTTGGTAGACAGCAACCGCCCAGGGAGGTACTAACGTCCTGCCAAGCGAGTGTAAAACGAAAGCCTGTATTTGTTTTACATGATGGTAGGATTGCTGGTGTCCTTTTTTCTGTCTCATAAACATGCAAGATTTCAGGTACATCTTGCTACTTCTACTTACACTTAGGTCACGCTACACATTCATGTACAAGCATATATATACACACCCCTCTGGGTTTTCTTCTATTTTCTTTCTAGTTCTTTTTTTTTTTTTTTTTTTCCCCAACAAGTCAGTCATCTCCCACCGAGGCAGGGTGACCCAAAAAAGAAAGAAAATCCCCAAAAAGAAAATACTTTCATCATCATTCAACACTTTCACCACACTCGCACCTTATCACTGCTTTTGCCGAGGTGCTCAGAATACAACAGCTTAGGAGCATATACGTATAAAGATACACAACATATCCCTCCAAACTGCCAATATCCCAAACCCCTCCTTTAAAGTGCAGGCATTGTACTTCCCATTTCCAGGACTCAAGTCCGACTATATGAAAATAACCGGTTTCCCTGAATCCCTTCACTAAATATTACCCTGCTCACACTCCAACAGATCGTCAGGTCCCAAGTATCATTCGTCTCCATTCACTCCTACCTAACACGCTCATGCAACACTTGCTGGAAGTCCAAGCCCCTCGCCCACAAAACCTCCTTTACCCCCTCTTTCCAACCCTTTCGAGGACAACCCCTACCCCTCTTTCCTTCCCCATAGATTTATATGCTTTCCATGTCATTCTACTTTGATCCATTCTCTCTAAATGACCAAACCATCTCAACAACCCCTCTTCTGCCCTCTGACTAATGCTTTTATTAACTCCACACCTTCTCCTAATTTCCACACTCCGAATTTTCTGCATATTTACACCACACATTGCCCTTAGACAGGACATCTCCACTGCCTCCAACAGTCTCCTCGCTGCTGCATTTACCACCCAAGCTTCACATCCATATAAGTGTGTTGGTACTACTATACTTTCATACATTCCATTCTTTGCCTCCATAGATAACATTTTTTGACTCCACATATACCTCAATGCATCACTCACCTTTTTTCCCTCATCAATTCTATGATTAACCTCATCCTTCATAAATCCATCCGCCGACACGTCAACTCCCAAGTATCTGAGAACATTCACTTCTTCCATACTCCTCCTCCCCAATTTGATATGCAAATTTTTCTTTATCTAAATCATTTGATACCCTCATCACTTACTCTTTTCTATGTTCACTTTCAACTTTCTACCTTTACACACCTTCTCAAACTCATCCACTAACCTTTGTAATTTTTCTTTAGAATCTCCCATAAGCACAGTATCATCAGCAAAAAGTAACTGTGTCAATTCCCATTTTGAATTTGATTCCCCATAATTTAATCCCACCCCTCTCCCGAACACCCTAGCATTTACTTCTTTTACAACCCCATCTATAAATATATTAAACAACCATGGTGACATTACACATCCCTGTCTAAGACCTACTTTTACCGGGAAGTATTCTCCCTCTCTTCTAGTTCTTGTTCATTTCCTCTTATCTCCATGGGGAGGTGGAACAGAATTCTTCCTCCGTAAGCCATGCGTGTTGTAAGAGGCGACTAAAATGCCGGGAGCAAGGGGCTAGTAACCCCTTCTCCTGTATAAATTACAAAATTACAAAACTTTCGTTTTTCTTTTTGGGCCACCCCGCCTCGGTGGGATACGGCCGATGTGTTGAAAGAAGATACGTAATACAATAATATAAATTATAAGAATATGTACATACTAATAAATAATAATACTAATAATAATATAATAATAGTAATATACATATATTAATAATATAATAATAATATACATATAATAATAATAATACACTTATAATAATAATGTGCTATAATACTAGACAGCTTCAAAAGGCTGTCACTAGATAGCAGTAAATACCACAACAATGTGGGAGCAGTTATGGCCGCATCCACCTGTCACAATGACATTTTATTCATTGTAGAGTGTATATCAGGTTTCTATGTTATTTATATTGTTTACTATGTCATATTAGATGAATTTTGATAGATAAATAAGCCATAGAATTGATATTAGAGAAATATTGAAGTATTTTGTCATGCCTCCTGAGAGTCGAAACGGATTAATTGCATTTCAATTAACTTACATGAGGAAAATTGACTCGGCATACGAGCAAATCGGGATACGAGCAAGGTCACGGAACGGATTCAACTCGTAAAGAGAGGTTCCACTGTGTATATTGGTTATACTTGTACACATGTTCCAGTGACATCAAAAATAACTTGTTATATTCCCAATAGCTTCTCAGTACCTCACAGACATGCCGTTTATAAAAAGATGTTAGAAAACTGCACTTGTAATTTACTGAATAAAAGCACACCTACATTCTTCACCAGTCCTACTAAATACTGCCAACAAAATTTGAAGACAACCCATGTATAGACTCCACACAAGTCAATTTTTACACATTTTGCTGTTAAAAATGATTAAATAATTAAGCTAAACATCTGAAGATCAAATCAATTAATTTTGCTTTTCCTAATTAATAAGTTGAGTTATTAAAAGCATTTTTAACAATTATCTTGGGCTACAAATATTTGTCATAATTTATCAGTATGATTAGAAAAAATAGCAATGGCATGCAATCTAGAGTACAGCCCTTATGCTAGCGAGGTAATTTGTGTCAAGACATTGCACGGTGGAGTTTTGAAAGCTATTAGTTCCATTAATTTAAAAATTATTACAGAGGGAACAAAAAATTCCACCCAGTTTGTGTACTGCCTACAAATGCCATTCTTATAAAATAATTAAAAAGTGATACTCACTTTTTGTTGCAAAGCACATCATTTATGGAAGGCTGAGCAGCAGCAGAAGATCGAGTGGGGTCTTCTGGGTGAGGGCCTATGTCTTTGCCAGCCAGCCAAAGCTCATATCGATCTGGCTGAAATCGCTTCACAAATGTGTCCATGGATATCTTCACCATGTCACCACTGTAAACAATATGTAAATTTACTAATTTATGAAGGGAAAAATGCATTTTATAAACTTTGTCTTCTCTTTCTGCAGCATGAATATGCAACATTTTAGGTAAATCTTGTAAACAGCTACTTACATTCATTATACACTTTACTCTCCTATGTGTTTCCCAATAATTATTATACATGTAATATATTCCAGTTTAGAAGGCCAGGGCCAATACAAGGCCATGGAGCTGACAATCAACAACAATTAACAAAGTTTGGGAGGAAACAACAAAGTAGGAAATTTTAAGTGAATATAGAAAAACAGCAAGCTGATGAAGGCGATAGAGTCTAGGCAATGACAGATTGAATATTAGATTGGATGGAAGGGGGGATAAGTGACATTTAGATTTAAAGGAATTTTAACGGATGCATCCTTTGAATACAAGTAGACGTTTGTTAACACTTTAAATTAATTTGTCCTGTGCACGTTTTGGAATATAAAAATTGAAGAATTGCGGCTATTTCGTTTAACACTTATAAAATTAGTTAACACTGTTGCAGGAGGAAAAAATTTGAGCGCTTTCCAGGGAGGATGGTCTGGGTTTCACCACTGTGTCAACTGGGAGACTACTGCCATCCATCCCCTGCCTCCCTCAGCCACCCACACCCCCCTCCCCGCCCTTTATTTTAGTTCATACGCGGTTTGGGCACGAAATCAGGAAGCTCGATGTGCTATTTACAAAAATATTTTTTATTTTTCCCGCTATATGTTAAAAACGCCAACAACATGGAACTGACTTTTCTTACTGACGTTTTTACTCAATGATTACTGTCCTAAATGAATGCACACGACGACTGAAAAACTTACTGACTTCATGCCACTCCAAAACAAACCCCTGATTCTACCAAACCTCTACCCCACTTCTGCGGACAACCAACAACCATCCACCTCAGCCCAGTAGGGCGACACCATCCATATCAACTCTTCACAATCAACAAACGCCATTATCCACAATTTAAGGTAAGAAATACTATTATAGTATTTCTATTGAATTTGTAGTCTTAAGCAGTAATATATCACAACAATGCACTGCAGTTACATATTCACTTTTATTTTGTAAGATCTGGAGGTCTAAAAAAAAGTTGTTTGGCTTTTTGGGGGCTCCCAAGAATGTAACCCTATTTTTCCCCACAAGTTCTTCAGTTCGTCTAACACGGTTTTGTCTAACATGGCGTTTTCAGAAACATAACTACCGTGTTAACCCTTTCAGGGTTGGTGCCATACTAGTACGGTTTGCATGCCAGGGTTGGTGCTGTACTAGTACGCATAAATTCTAGTGCCTTCAAATCTAGCGAGAGAAAGCTGGTAGGCCTACATATGAAAGAATGGGTCTATGTGGTCAGTGTGTGCAGTATAAAAAAAATCCTGCAGCACACAGTGCATGAGAAAAAAAAACTCCAACTGTGTTTTTGGTTTAAAACGGCGAATCTGCAGTGTATTTTCGTATGCTATTTATGGTTGTATTCTAGTTTTCCTGGTTTCATTTTATAGAATGAAAGACATATTATGGAAATTGAGATGATTCTGATTGGTTTCACAATGAAAAGTACCTTGAAATTGAGCTTAAAGTAGCAGAAATGTTCGATTTTTGCCAAAGTTCAAAGGTAAACAAATCATGCCATGCGTCCAATACAAGTCAACTGGCGAGTCTAATGTTCTTCCACAAGTGCGCTGATATTATTTATACCATTTCTACACTAATGCAGTAGTCTGCACAACATAAATCTTCTGTTTTTTGTAAGAATAAAAATTCAAAGAGGAAAGCAAAAGAAATGTAACAGACACCAAGGGATGTGAGTAATGAACAGAAGAAATGTTATTTTAGTGCCAGGAATGTCTGTCTTGTTTATTCTGGATCCTATTTGGAAATTGGCATCTTTTGAAATTTGTGTGAAATTGGCAAAATTGCCAATTTCTGACCACTTTATTGGATAGTTGAAATCGGTAAATGGGTGGTTTCTTGTACTCATTCGATAGAAAAAAATGGAGCTCTAGCAAAATAGGTATTATTTTTGCCAACTGGTACATTGGAATTGGCCGAAAATAAGGCTCAAAGTGGGCGAAATCGCCGATGCATAAACATCGTCGAGACCGCTAACTTCACGTGAGCATAATTCCGTAAGTTTTACATCAAATTTCATACTTTTGGTGTCATTATGACCAGGAAAAGATTCTCTATCATTTCATAAGAAAAAATAATGTATTTTTTCTTTTAAAAATTTTCTGACCCTAAGAACAAGTTTGGGAGAGGGCCTGCCGACCCTGAAAGGTTATTAAACAACGGTCTATTGTACAAGATAAATAGAAAAAAAAAATGGGAGGTAAAGGTAGGCAGTGCTGAGGTATACAAAGGCAAAAAAGAGTGTATTGTACCAGAATTTAGTGGTACCAACACTTTTATATGGGCAAGGAATGGGTTTTGAAACGGTAAAAGGAGGGGGGCAAGAGGCAGTAGAGATCTCACATTTAAGAGCAATGTGCAGTGTGAATATTAAACAGTGTATTTGAGGTACAGAAATTGAAAGGGTGAAGAGGATTGAGGTCGTATGGGCATGTAGAGGATAGTGTAAAAATCTGAGTGGAAGATAGGAGAGTCAGAGGTCATGCTAGGATAGGATGGAGGAATGAGATAAATGCTTAGTTTCAGGGTACGAGCATACAGCAACCCTATATACATGCACGTATGCGTGTGTGAGCGTGTGCATGTGTTTTAGACAGTGAATTGGTTTTAATGGATGTGCTGTTGGAGCATGAGCAAAGTTATATTTATGAAGGAATTCAGTGAAACCAGTTCAGCTGCCCATCCTGGATGTAGGAAACTTAGTGCCTGCACTCTGAAGTAAAGTGGAACGTATGTCACAGTTGAAGGGTAATGGAGTTGCAATATCTGCAAACTTCTGGTAGGATACAAATTGAATGAATGATGGTGAATGCCTTGTATATAACTAACCCACAGGCTGTATGTCATTCAGCATGCATTTTTAACTTAAGTAATGGTCTATATACAAAATTTCCAAAGCCAATAATGACAAACAATAATAGGGTTAATTTTTCCAGGAATTCTCAAAGATCATAGTTTTATATTTCAAATGACATCAATAAAGATTGCATTCTTTGAATGCCCTCATCACACTGATTCCAAATAATACCAACAAGGGGAAGGTTATGGTAATTTCAAGCATGAAAGGTTAAAAGGTGACCTCAAACTGGCCTTTGTTGTAATTTTTAGCCTGTGGACTGGATTACATTAAAGAATTGCAAATCATTTTTTTTTTTTATTTAACAAAAAATAACCCCTAAACCATGTTTAAGCAATATCAGAGTTATTGATAATGTCCATTGTTTGATCTGTCCTGATTACCCCTACAGCACACCATACAATATGAAGATATAATTTTAACAAGTCGGCCGTCTCCCACCGAGGCAAGGTGACCCCAAAAAGAAAGAATCCCCAAAAAGAAAATACTTTCCCCATCATTCAACACTTTCACCTCACACATAATCACTGTTTTTGCAGAGGTGCTCAGAATACAACAGTTTAGAAGCATATATGTATAAAGATACGCAACATATCCCTCCAAACTGCCAATATCCCAAACCCCTCCTCTAAAGTGCAGGCATTGTACTTCCCATTTCCAGGACTCAAGTCCGGCTATATAAAAATAATCAGTTTCCCTGAATCCCTCCACTAAATATTACCCAGCTCACACTCCAACAGCTCGACAGGTCCCAAATACCATTCGTCTCCTTTTACTCCTATCTAACACGCTCACTCAAGCTTACTGGAAGTTCAAGCCCCTCACCCACAAAACCTTTACCCCCTCCCTCCAACCTTTTCAAGGACGACCCCTACCCCGCCTTCCTTCCCCTACAGATTTACATGCTCTCCATGTCATTCTACTTTGATCCATTCTCTCTAAATGACCAAACCACTTCAACAACCCCTCTTCAGCCCTCTAATACTTTTATTAACTCCACACCTTCTCCTGATTACCACACTCCAAATTTTCTGCATAATATTTACACCATACATTGCCCTTAGACAGGACATCTCCACTGCCTCCAACCGCCTCCTCGCTGCAGCATTTACAACCCAGGCTTCACACCCATATAAGAGTGTTGGTACTACTATAAATTCCCTTCTTTGCCTCCACAGATAACGTTTTTTTGTCTCCAGATATACCTCAACGCACCACTCGCCTTTTTTCCTTTCATCAATTCTATGATTAACTTCATCCTTCATAAATCCATCCGCTGACACGTCAACTCCCAAATATCTGAAAACATTCACTTCTTCCATGCTCCTCCTCCCCAATTTGATATTCAATTTTTCTTAATCTAAATCATTTGATACCCTCATCACCTTACTCTTTTCTATGTTCACTTTCAACTTTCTACCTTTACACACTCCTAAACTCATCCACTAACCTTTGCAATTTTTCTTTAGAATCTCCCTGAAGAGAAGTTGCAGAGATTGGTGGATGAATTTGGTAGGGTGTGCAAAAGAAGAAAATTAAAGGTGAATATAGGAAAGAGTAAGGTTATGAGGATAACAAAAAGATTAGGTGATGAAAGATTGAATATCAGATTGGAGGGAGAGAGTATGGAGGAGGTGAATGTATTCAGATATTTGGGAGTGGACGTGTCAGCGGATGGGTCTATGAAAGATGAGGTGAATCATAGAATTGATGAGGGAAAAAGAGTGAGTGGTGCACTTAGGAGTCTGTGGAGACAAAGAACTTTGTCCTTGGAGGCAAAGAGGGGAATGTATGAGAGTATAGTTTTACCAACGCTCTTATATGGGTGTGAAGCATGGGTGATGAATGTTGCAGCGAGGAGAAGGCTGGAGGCAGTGGAGATGTCATGTCTGAGGGCAATGTGTGGTGTGAATATAATGCAGAGAATTCGTAGTTTGGAAGTTAGGAGGAGGTGCGGGATTACCAAAACTGTTGTCCAGAGGGCTGAGGAAGGGTTGTTGAGGTGGTTCGGACATGTAGAGAGAATGGAGCGAAACAGAATGACTTCAGAGTGTATCAGTCTGTAGTGGAAGGAAGGCGGGGTAGGGGTCGGCCTAGGAAAGGTTGGAGAGAGGGGGTAAAGGAGGTTTTGTGTGCGAGGGGCTTGGACTTCCAGCAGGTATGCATGAGCGTGTTTGATAGGAGTGAATGGAGACAAATGGTTTTTAATACTTGACGTGCTGTTGGAGTGTGAGCAAAGTAACATTTATGAAGGGGTTCAGGGAAACCGGCAGGCCGGACTTGAGTCCTGGAGATGGGAAGTACAGTGCCTGCACTCTGAAGGAGGGGTGTTAATGTTGCAGTTTAAAAACTGTAGTGTAAAGCACCCTTCTGGCAAGACAGTGATGGAGTGAATGATGGTGAAAGTTTTTCTTTTTCGGGCCACCCTGCCTTGGTGGGAATCGGCCAGTGTGATAATAAAATAAAATAAAAAATCTCCCATAAGCATAGTATCATCAGCAAAAAGTAACTGTCAATTCCCATTTTGTATTTGATTCCCCATAATTTAATCCCACCCCTCTCCCGAACACCCTAGCATTTACAACCCCGTCTATAAAGATATTAAACAACCATGGTGACATTACACATCCCTGTGTAAGATCTCCTTTTACCGGGAAGTAGTCTCCCTCTCTTCTATACACCCTAACCAGAGCCTCACTATCCTCATAAAAACTCTTCACAGCATTTAGTAACTTACCACCTATTCCATTAATTCTTTCAATAATAACCCTACCGTACACTTTTCCTGGTATACTCAGTAACCTTATTCCTCTATAATTTTTACAACCTCTTTTGTCCCCCTTCCCTTATATAAAAGGACTATACATGCTCTCTGCCAATTCCTAGGTACCTTCCCCTCTTTCATACATTTATTAAACAAAAATACCAACTACTCCAACACTATATCCCCCCTTGCTTTAAACATTTCTGTCATGATCCTGTCAGTTCCAGCTGCTTTACCACCTTTCATTTTACATAATGCCTCACGCACCCCCCCCCACACACACTCGCATCCTGCTCTTCTTCACTACTAGAAGATGGTATACCTCCCTGGCCAGTGCATGAAATTACAGCCTCCCTTTCTTCGTCGGCATTTAAAAGTTCCTCAAAATATTCTCGCCATCTACCCAAGACTTCCATCTCCCCATCTACTAACTCCCCTACTATGTTTTAACAGACAAATCCATTCGTTTCCTAGGCTTTCTTAACTTGTTTAACTCACTCCAAAATTTTTTTCTTATTTTCATTAAAATTTCTTTATGGTGCCTCTCCCACTCTATCATCTGCTCTCCTTTTGCACTCTCTCACCACTCTTGTCACCTTTCTTTTACTCTCCATATACTCTACTCTTCTTATAACACTTCTGCTTTGTAAAAACCTCTCATAAGCTACCTTTTTCTCTTTTATCACACTCTTTACTTCATCATTCCACCAATCACTCCTCTTTCCTCCTGCACCCACCCGCCTATAACCACACCAATAGTATAACTAGTTAATGATATTACTCAAGGGCAAAGAATCTTCAGCCTATTAATGGCAAATCTTAAAATGCTACCAAGACATATTTCCTAATCATCCAGGTTTAGGGAAGTTTGATAGTTTGTATGCTGCCAGCAGCAGCAGCCTAACTCATCAAATTGTCATTAAGCTTAAACCATTCCAATAAATGCTATACCATGGCTGTTTGAAAACTTACCGGCACTGACACTGAGTGGCACGCTTGCCATACTCAACCCAACGAGGCATAGCAAAATTAGTTGACTCAGCACAATTAAATCCATGGTTAAAGCCTGCATGGTAGCCATATGGAAATGTTATCATGATGTCTCCAGCCTCTTGTGTTATCTGCAAAAAAAAAAAAAAAAAAATATACAAGATCTAATATATCTAAGTTTTGAACACTACAAAGTAACAATCTTTACACTGCTTCTTATATATTAGCGATGAAAAAATTATCTGTAAAAATCCTTAAATGTACTAATCAACTTGAATCAAGGGTTCATCATTCCTGCCTGTGTTTTACAAGTAAACAAATATTAGTATGAAAACAATATTACATTTCAAATTCCATCATACATGTTATTTTGACTCAGTATAAGAGACAGCTGAAAAAATGAGAAAATTTTAACTTGAACCTTGCCGCAAGGTGAGCTAACTACCAGAAAAAAAATATTTAGGACTCTCAGCTTCCTTGCATTGTTCGTTCTGCAAATCCTCTATCAATAAATGAATGGCAAATTGTAGAATATTGTCTAGACATTTTAAATGATATTAAGTTCTGAAGATATAGGAATTGCTCTAGTTATTAACTGCCAAAAATATTGAGTATGTACTCTTTTACAAAATGTAATTTTTTTTTTTTTTTTTGAAGTTCTAGAGGAGTCACTTCTTTGCCAGTTTAACATCAGGAGAGTCTTGACAAAATCCTTCCTCAGACCAAATAAAGCCATGTTTGAGATCATTCACAATGATTGTGCTGGAAGGTAAAGAGTAAGGTGCATGCCTGATACAACACACAACTATTTTTTGCATAAAACAAATTTTGTGCAGAGACTTTTCAAAAATTTAGCAAATATTTCAGTTAAAAAGTGTTAGGATTCAAAAATTTATAATCTAGACACATGCCTGCCCTTAAAGTCAACTTAAAGGAGTTTAAGTTTCTGGTCTGAGACATCTTTTTCATCCTCTTAAACTTGCAATAAAATAAAACATTCAACTAGTTTAGGTAAGAAAAAATATCCTGAAATTTTCTTACTAATATACAAACCTTGTCAAATGGGATGGAATACTGTTTGAGAATTTGGGGTGACATGAGGGACATCTTATGGCGAAGATAAGCTGGACAAGCTTTGAAAGAATTTGGAAAGAAGCCATTTGCCAACCTTTCCAATCTACGACCATGCTCAGGAGGTATGGAATACCACGTCTTCGGTGCTCCGAAATGGAGATAATTAATACTGAAATGCATAAAAATCATAAAATTAATGAGAAATGAAGTAAATAATAAATTTCAATGACAGTAGAAATTTAACTTAAAAGTAATTGCCTAGCAACAACTGTCTCTCATTCTTGTTAAGCTTTGTTTCTGGTATTTTCTCACCAGTTCTTATGTTATTTAGTGGCAGTGTTAATAATGGTCAGAGTTTTGGTAAGTTATAATGGATGAGGGCTCTCCCAAGTCCTAAAACCAATGGAAATTAACTTATTTTTGTTAACACACCGGCCATCTCCCACCAAGGCAGAGTGACCCCCCCCCCCCCCCAAAAAAAAAAAGAGCATGTTCATCACTTGTTCCATCACTGTCTTTGCCAAAGGCACACCAATACTACAGTTCAAAACTGCAAATTATCCCCACCCCTCTCCTTCAGATTGCAGGCACTGTACTTTCCACCCCCAGGACTCAAGTCTAGCTAACAATATCCCTGAATCCCTTTGTAAATGTTACCTTGCTCACTCTCTCAACAGCAAGGTAATTAGAGTATCAAAAAATATAGGCAACGAGAGATTGGCTATCAGATTAGAGGGAGGGAGCATGAAGGAGGTAAATGTGCTCAAATACAGAATTTGGGATTGGACTTGTTCGTGGATGGTTCTATGAAAGATGAGGCGAATTGTTGAATTAATGAAGGGTACAAGGTGGATGGCACATCGAGACATCCGTGGAGATGAGAAATTTATCCATGGAGGCAAAATGGGTAATGTGCTAAAGCATAGTGGTACCAATCCTGTTGTATGGGTGTGAAGCATGGGTTTTCAAATGTTGTGAGGAGAAGGCTGGAGGTAGTGGAGATATGTTAGACGGCAGTGTATGGTGTGAGCATTCGTAGAGAATTCAGAGTTCGGAGATCAGGTGATGTCGAGATACCCAAAGTATTATTCAGAGGGCTGAGGAGGAATTTTTGAGACAGTTTGGATATTAAGAAAGGATTGAAGAAAAATAAGATGACTAGGAGAGTGTACAAATCTGGGGTGGAGAGAAGGGGGTAGGGGTACTCCTAGGAAAGGTTAGAGGGGGTAAAGGAGGTTTTCAGTGCTAGGGGCTTGGACATCCAACAGACTTGTGCGAGCATTTAGAAAGTACATAGTGAAGGCAAGTGGTTTTTACAATTTGATATGTGCTTAGAAGAGATTGTGTGCTAGGAAGAGATTCGGGGAGACCGGTTAGATGGACTAGAGTCCTGGAGATGGGAAATACAGTACCTGTGCTCTGAAGGAAAATGGAGATGGTGCAGTTGAAGGGTCATCTGAATGGTATGTCAGTACACCTGTGGCAAGACAGTGATTCAGTACCAGTGAAAGTTTTCATCATTGTCGGGTCACCTTACCTCGGTGGGAGAGAGCCAGTGTTATAAAAAAAAAAATATCTATATATATTGAAGTCCATGAAAATGAACAGCCAAAGTCTTTTCATAGGGAAACATGTTACATTCAACCTAACTCTAAGATAGAAAAAACTCACCTGTACAAATCCATATCCTCTGTGTGCCAGGCAAATGTGGTCTTCCACATGCCAAAGTAGAGGTATGCTGTGTTTACACCATCAATGCTAATACCATAGTCCTCATTAACATAATCCAAAATAGACCCCAAGCTGTTGATATTCCATTCCTGAAATACAAAATAAATAGGTATTTGGAAGTACATATACAATGCTCACAAATACAAAAAGGAGTGATTGTGTACCTATACATTTATAAACATGTTGAAAACTCCACAACTTTTAACATAAGGACATTTAACCAGAAATATTAAAGACAAGCAAAACAAGGTAAATCAAGATCCTTTAGTTAGGTAATTAAAAGACTACATATTATTATCAAGCAGAGAATAGTGTGCATGGGTAGAAGCCAAAAGAAATAACAATTCCTCAATGAAATTACTGTAGATCATATAAAGTACCCACAAACAATAGTAATAAGAATGACTGCACAAATTACCTTGACATCTGGATCTGTAATGCTGCCTGACACGTCTGCTCCATAAATAGGGGAAACATAAGTAATATTTTTCCAATACTTTCTTTCCAGATCTTCAAATGATGAATGTTTTGGTGTTCGATACCTGGAACAATATCAAATCATTTTCTCCACTGAAGATTCCTATTATGAACAAGAAACATTGCCATAAAGTCGGCTATAACTGAACACTAATTAAAATACATATGTACTGGAAAATCTAAGGGAAGTAAACAAAATTAAAAGAGTACATGACTTACAATAGAAGGCAAAATAAATACTATACTTTATCCACACAAAAACATAACTGCCATTTTGTGTTAGTATCACATATAAAGAACATCAGTAAAATTCCTTGTCAAACATTTATTTGACATGCAACCCTTAATTAACCCAAAGGCCCCAAACCTCAATTATGTTTATCGTAACCTACTGTTTCTTTATTGTTTATGCATTTTGTTATAATCAATATTATCATATGAATCTTGTATACAGGCAGGCCCTACTTATACAGCAGGTCTGGTTCCAGCCTCCTGCTGTAAAGTGAAACAGTCTTTTTTCACTTTCAAATGCATAGAAAAGCCTGATAACATGCTTACCCTATTATATATTAAGTGAGCAATGAATCTAGGCCTTAAAAATGCATATACAGTGCACACAATACTTTTTTTTTTTTTTTTTCAACAAGTCGGTCGTCTCCCACCGAGGCAGGGTGACCCAAAAAAGAAAGAAAATCCCCAAAAAGAAAATACTTTCATCATCATTCAACACTTTCACCACACGCACACATTATCACTGCTTTTGCAGAGGTGCTCAGAATACAACAGTTTAGAAGCATATACATATAAAGATACACAACATATCCCTCCAAACTGCCAATATCCCAAACCCCTCCTTTAAAGTGCAGGCATTGTACTTCCCATTTCCAGGACTCAAGTCCGACTATATGAAAATAACCGGTTTCCCTGAATCCCTTCACTAAATATTACCCTGCTCACACTCCAACAGATCGTCAGGTCCCAAGTATCATTCGTCTCCATTCACTCCTATCTAACACACTCATGCACGCTTGCTGGAAGTCCAAGCCCCTCGCCCACAAAACCTCCTTTACCCCTCTTTCCAACCCTTTCGAGGACGACCCTACCCCTCTTTCCTTCCCCTATAGATTTATATGCTTTCAATGTCATTCTACTTTGATCCATTCTCTCTAAATGGACCAAACCACCTCAACAACCCCTCTTCTGCCTCTGACTAATGCTTTTATAACTCCACACCTTCTCCTAATTTCCACACTTCGAATTTTCTGCATAATATTTACACCACACATTGCCCGTAGACAGGACATCTCCACTGCCTCCAACCGTCTCCTCGCTGCTGCATTTACCACCAAAGCTTCACATCCATATAAGAGTGTTGGTACTACTATACTTTCATACATTCCCTCTTTGCCTCCATAGATAACGTTTTTTGACTCCACTATACCTCAACGCACCACTCGCGTTTTTTCCCTCATCAATTCTATGATTAACCTCATCCTTCATAAATCCATCCGCCGACACGTCAACTCCCAAGTATCTGAAAACATTCACTTCTTCCATACTCCTCCTCCCCAATTTGATATCCAATTTTTCTTTATCTAAATCATTTGATACCCTCATCACCTTACTCTTTTCTATGTTCACTTTCAACTTTCTACCTTTACACACATTCTCAAACTCATCCACTAACCTTTGCAATTTTTCTTTAGAATCTCCCATAAGCACAGTATCATCTGCAAAAAGTAACTGTGTCAATTCCCATTTTGAATTTGATTCCCCATAATTTAATCCCACCCCTCTCCCGAACACCCTAGCATTTACTTCTTTTACAACCCCATCTATAAATATATTAAACAACCATGGTGACATTACACATCCCTGCCTAAGACCTACTTTTACCGGGAAGTATTCTCCCTCTCTTCTACACACCCTAACTGAGCCTCACTATCCTCATAAAAGCTCTTTACAGCATTTAGTAACTTACCACCTATTCCATAAACTTGCAACATCTGCCACATTGCTCCTCTAGCCTTTTCTAAATCCATAAATGCAATAAAAACTTCCCTACCTTTATCCAAATACTGTTCACATATATGCTTCAATGTAAACACTTGATCTACACATCCCCTACCCACTCTGAAGCCTCCTTGCTCATCCACAATTCTACATTCTGTCTTGCCTCTAATTCTTTCAATTATAACTCTACCGTATACTTTTCCTGGTATACTCAGTAAACTTATTCCTCTATAATTTTTACAATCTCTTTTGTCCCCTTTCCCTTTATATAAAGGGACTATACATGCTCTCCGCCAATCCTTAGGTACCTTCCCCTCTTCCATACATTTACTAAACAAAAGTACCAACCACTCCAACACTATATCCCCCCTTGCTTTTAACATTTCTGTCATGATCCCATCAGTTCCCGCTGCTTTACCCCCTTTCATTCTACGTAATGCCTCACGTACCTCCACCACACTTACATTCTGCTCTTCTTCACTCCTAAAAGATGGTATACCTCCCTGGCCAGTGCATAAAATTACCGCCTCCCTTTCTTCCTCAACATTTAAAAGTTCCTCAAAATATTCTCGCCATCTACCTAATACCTCCCTCTCCCCATCTACTAACTCCCTACTCTGTTTTTAATGGACAAATCCATACTTTCCCTAGGCTTTCTTAACTTGTTTAACTCACTCCAAAATTTTTTCTTATTTTCATTAAAATTTCTTGACAGTGCCTCTCCCACTCTTTCATCTGCTCTCCTTTTGCACTCTCTCACCACTCTCTTCACCTTTCTTTTACTCTCCATATACTCTGCTCTTCTTATAACACTTCTGCTTTGTAAAAACCTCTCGTAAGCTACCTTCTTCTCTTTTATCACACCCTTTACTTTATCATTCCACCAATCACTCCTCTTTCCTCCTGCCCCCACCCTCCTATAACCACAAACTTCTGCCCCACATTCTAATACTGCATTTTTAAAACTATTCCAACCCTCTTCAACCCCCCCACTACTCATCTTTGCACTAGCCCACCTTTTTGCCAATAGTCGCTTATATCTCGCCCGAACTTCCTCCTCCCTTAGTTTATACACTTTCACCTCCCTCTTACTTGTTGTTGCCACCTTCCTCTTTTCCCATCTACCTCTTACTCTAACTGTAGCTACAACTAAATAATGATCTGACATATCAGTTGCCCCTCTATAAACATGTACATGCTGGAGCCTACCCATCAACCTTTTATCCACCAATACATAATCTAACAAACTACTTTCATTACATGCTACATCATACCTTGTATATTTATTTATCCTCTTTTTCATAAAATATGTATTACTTATTACCAAATTTCTTTCTACACATAGCTCAATTAAAGGCTCCCATTTACATTTACCCTGGCACCCCAAATTTACCTACTACTCCCTCCATAACATTTTTTACCCACTTTAGCATTGAAATCCCCAACCACCATTACTCTCACACTTGATTCAAAACTCCCCACGCATTCACTCAACATTTCCCAAAATCTCTCTCTCTCCTCTACACTTCTTTCTTCTCCAGGTGCATACACGCTTACTATAACCCACTTTTCACATCCAATCTTTATTTTACTCCACATAATCCTTGAATTTATGCATTTGTAGTCCCTCTTTTCCTGCCATAGCTTATCCTTCAACATTATTGCTACTCCTTCTTTAGCTCTAACTCTATTTGAAACCCCTGACCTAACCCCATTTATTCCTCTCCATTGAAACTCTCCCACCCCCTTCAGCTTTGTTTCACTTAAAGCCAGGACATCCAGTTTCTTCTCATTCATAACATCCACAATCATCTCTTTCTTATCATTTGCACAACATCCACGCACATTCAGACTTCCCACTTTGACAATTTTCTTCTTCTTATTCTTTTTAGTAATCTTTACAGGAAAAGGGTTACTAGCCCATTGTTCCCGGCATTTTAGTTGACTTTTACAACACGCATGGCTTACGGAGGAAAGATTCTTATTCCACTTCCCCATGGATATAAAAGGAAAAGTAATAAGACCAAGAACTATTAAGATAAAATCAAAGAAAACTCAGATGAGTGTGTACAAATAAACATGTACATGTATGTGCAGTGTGACCTAAGTGTAAGTAGAAGTAGCAAGACGTACCTGTAATCTTGCATATTTATGAGACAGACAAAAGACACCAGCAATCCTACCATCATGTAAAACAATTACAGGCTTTCGTTTTACACTCACTTGGCAGGACAGTAGTACCTCCCTGGGTGGTTGCTGTCTACCAACCTACTACTTACTACTTGAGATTAAGACACATGTGCAACATCTGGGTATCTTTATTGTAGACGTTTCGCCATCCAGTGACTTTATCAATACAAATTCTAGGACATAACTTGAAGACAGTAGAACTATGTACAGAAGATGAGGTAATCAGTCCCTCAACCTAGGAGTAGGTGCGAAGAGCACCATAGTCGTGGAGATTCTGAAGCAGAAGAAAGGAGCCTGGTGCTTATATAGTAACGTCAGGTGTAGCAGACGAGGGCATATTCACTGGTAGGCGGGATTCCCAGTGGAAGTAGTCCTTCCCAAAGAGATGGGTTAGTTGTAGTAGTAGTTGTCGTAGTCGTGAAGGTTATGTACATGTCCTCAGAATTAAGATTCCATGATGTTGCAGTGTCTGACAAGTTGTGTGCGAATAGTATATAATACCGACAAGATGAGATTAAGACACATGTGCAACATCTGGGTATCTTTATTGTACGTTTCGCCATCCAGTGGCTTTATCAATACAAATTCTAGGAACATAACTTGAAGGACAGTAGAACTATGTCAGAAGATGAGGTAATCAGTCCTCAACCTAGGTTGAGGGACTGATTACCTCATCTTCTGTACACAGTTCTACTGTCTTCAAGTTATGTCCTAGAATTTGTATTGATAAAGCCACTGGATGGCGAAACGTCTACAATAAAGATACCCAGATGTTGCACATGTGTCTTAATCTCATCTTGTCGGTATTATATACCATTCGCACACTACTTACTACTTACCTTAAAATATTTTAATCTTTAGCTTATAATGAGCAGTGAATATATTTATCGTAGGAAATCTGAATAAATGAAGAATGGGTACAATTGAAAACTGCTGCATCAGCAAAATGCTGTAAAGTGGGGCCCACCTGTACTCTTCTTTATCCATAACCAAATTTATTACAAAATTATGCTGTCACAGAAAATGTGTTAAACATCAAATCTTTAAAATAACTCCTGCCATATTTCATCTCTTGAAATATATTCTTACAGATATTTATCAAATGAATGACTGCTGCTACTATTACAGCAACAATTCCAACAGAACATAAGAAAGTAGCTAGTACTGTCTTCACACTTACCTATCACTGTTTGCCAATTTACTAAACTCCTTAACAGTCATAGGCTTCTTCTGAATATTAATCTGTTGGTAGAGTCCCTGTTTGCCAGTCACAACCTGGCAAATAGGAGCAGGAATTGTGAGATCCAGAGAGTCCAAGTCATAGCCACTTTTGCGAGGACACCACTCTGGTGGTGGGATGATCTGTGAAGTGAAGAATTTTTAAGTCAGTTCTCCGAAAAATTAATTCACAAACTCTGAAAGTACAGTGGGTACATTACACTGAAAAAATTCAAAAACTTAACACTCAGCTAGGTTGATACAGTATGTTATATTTATACACTACATGAACTCAAATGAACATATTTTTTAACCCTTTCAGGGTTTCGGCCGTACTAGTACGGCTTACTCACCAGGGTTTTTGACATACTACTAGAACGCCTAAATTCTAGCGCCCTCAAATCTAGTGAGAGAAAGCTGGTAGGCCTACAAATGAAAGAATGGGTCTATGTGGTCAGTGTGCGCAGTATAAAAAAAAATCCTGCAGCACACAGTGCATAATGAGAAAAAAAACTGACTGTTTTTGGATTAAAACAGCAACTTTGCACTGTATTTTCGTATGGTATTTATTGTTGTATTCTAGTTTTCCTGGTCTCATTCTATTGAATGGAAGACATATTATAGAAATTGAGATGATTTTGACTGATTTTACAATGAAAAGTACCTTGAAATTGAGCTCAAAGTAACAGAAATGTTTGATTTTTACCAAACAACATAACTATCTTTAACTACAATATCAGATCTTTAAGCAAGCATTATGATGACCTCCTAGCATTACTAAATTCCTTGCATGCCAATATGTCCATTATTACACTAACTGAAACCTGGCTAAAGCCTGATACTACAGATGTCTATGCCATTCCTGGTTACACAGCCATACACAACTGTAGGCCAAACCAACAAGGGGGTGGCACAGCAATATACTACTCAGACCAACTAGAATGTATCACTAATACTTGCACAAGGGATGAACATGGGGAATATATAATAGCTAAACTCAAATCCAAATACCTACAAAAACCTCTCACAGTGATAAACATCTACAGAATTCCACAATCAAACATTAGTCAATTTAGTCAAAACCTAGGAAGTATGATAACTGATTTAGTCAAAACCTAGGAAGTATGATAACTGATCCTGCAAGACCAGGACCCACACGTTACTGAATTCACAAACACAATGAGTAACTGCATGTTGCTACCAACAGTAACAAAACCTACAAGAGTTACAGAGACTAGTGTTTCCCTACTTGACCACATCTGGACCAACACCATATCCCCTTTAAAATCAGGCATAATTACAGATAATACCACAGACCACTACCCTACTTTCCTCATAACAACTCTTGGTAAAATACCCCAAGACACTACAAAAGTCACCTTCAGACTTCACAATGAGGCAGCCATTAATAACTTCACAACAGCAGTAACAAACATTGACTGGCACACTGAGCTAGAAATCTATACAGATATTGACAAATGTTTTAATAATTTTCTAAAAAAGACCCAATACCTTTATAACAAGCACTGCCCTAAAAAAACTAAACAGATGACAGCTAAGAGATTGAACAGTCCCTGGCTAACACCCAGCATTCTCAAATCCATAAATACAAAACACCGATATGAAAAAACAGTACAGAATGGGTCACATAACCAGAGACCAAACAAAAACGTTACTCGTCAATCCTAACCAGCCTGATAAGAAGGGCAAAAAAATTGTATTATGAGAACAGATTATCCAACTTACGAGGTGATATAAAAAAGACCTGGAAGACCCTATCAGAAATTCTGGGAACAAAAAATATATCACGACATAGCGAAATAAAATTAGCAAAATCAGATGAACCCCAACTCCCACCAACAGAAACAGCAAACAGACTCAATGATTTCTTCTCCACTATAGGCCAAAACCTTGCCAATAATATCCCAAGCTCAGATACCCCACCAAATGACTACCTCACTGGCAACTACCCGAACACACTGTTCCTAGCTCCGACTAACCCATACGAAGTCTCCCTTATTATCAACGCACTGAAAAACAAGGCAGGAGATTTAAATACCTTACCACCCTTTATATACAAAAAAGCGTCACAAGTACTATCACCAATCATTGCAACACTCTCTAACAAATCCATTGAATCCTCCACCTTCCCTACAGTTCTCAAAATAGCAAGGGTCACCCCGATCCATAAAAGAGGAGACCAAACAGAGTTGAATAACTATAGGCCAATATCCAATTTACACCCTCTCTCAAAAATCTTCGAAAAATTAATTCATAAACGAATCTACTCCTACCTCATCTCCCATAACATTCTCAACCCCTGCCAATTTGGATTCAGGCCTAATAAAAATACTAATGATGCTATTATACACATGCTGGAACATATATACACTGCAATAGAGAAAAAAGAAGTCCCACCGGGGATCTTCATTGACTTACGTAAAGCTTTTGATACAGTTGACCATGACTTGCTCCACATAAAATTGTCACACTATGGTATTAGAGGGCACTCCCTCAACTACCTCAAGTCTTACCTCGGCAACAGAAGCCAATATGTGTACACAAATGGGGCAAGCTCTTCCGCACAACCAATTACAGTTGGTGTCCCACAGGGAAGTGTCCTTGGCCCTCTTCTCTTTCTCCTATACATAAATGACCTACCAAATGCTTCGCAATTACTCAAACCCACACTTTTTGCAGATGACACCACATACGTCTTCTCTCACCCGAGCCCAGTCACGCTAGCCAATACTGTAAACACCGAATTACAGAAAATATCTACCTGGATGAGGACTAACAAACTTACATTAAACATTGACAAAACCTACTTCATTCAGTTTGGTAGCAGAGCTACAGATGTACCTCTTAACATAACAATAAACGGATCACCTATCACAAAGCTAACAGAGGGAAAATTCTTAGGAATCCACCTCGATAATAGACTCAAATTTCATACACATATACAACAAATTTCTAAGAAAATTTCCAAGACTGTAGGCATACTATCGAAGATACGGTACTATGTTCCACAGTCAGCCCTCCTGGCCCTTTATCACTCTCTTATTTACCCCTATCTCACCTATGGATTTGTGCATGGGGCTCAACAACAACTAACCATCTCAGACCACTAATTACCCAACAAAAGGCTGCAGTTAGAATGATAACAAATTCTCACTACAGGCAGCACACTCCACCAATATTCAAAACACTCAACCTACTCACCATACAAAACATCCATACTTATTATTGCACTTATTACATACATAGAACACTTAACTCTGATATTAACCTCCCCTCAAACATCTCCTTGCCAACCTCAACAGAACACATGACCATAACACAAGGCACAGATCACTCTTTGATGTTCCTCGTGTCCATCTCACGCTATGCAAAAACTCAATGCACATAAAAGGCCCTAAAATCTGGAATTCATTACCTGTATATATAAAAGAAACACTACCTGTTTATAAATTCAAGTCTCTTCTCAAAGTTCACTTACTCACTCAAAACCAAATAAATACTGAATAACTGAACCATATAAATTGTATATCCTAAATGTTACTCACAATTATATCACACAAATGTTAAACCTAACTTTGTTATTTTTTTTTTTAAATACACTACCTGAATGAACAGCAATGCATGCAACCATATGACCTGTCTTTGTAATACTCATTTGTATTTTATAGTTATCTGTTTACAATAATGTCTTATCACTGATTTCATCATTGCTTAGTTAATCTTAAGTTAATTTTAAGCCAGCCCATAATGCTATGCATATAAGTGGCTTTGGCATGCTGCTCTTACCTGTATTTTTTTGTACCTCTGTATGTATGCTAAAGTTTATAAATAAATAAATACATAAAGTTCAAAAGTAAACAAATCATGCTAAGCGTCCAATACACGTCAACTGGCGAGTCTAATATTCTTTCACAAGTGCACCGATATTATTTATACCATTTTTTACACTAATGCAGTAGTCTGCATAACAGTAAATCTTCTATCTTGTGAGAATAAAAATTCAAAGTGGAAAGCAAAAGAATGTAAGAGGGGCATTGGGACGTGACTAATGAACAGAGAAAATATCATATTAGTGCCAGGAATGTCTTTCTTGTTTATTCTGGACCCTATTTGGAAATTGCCATCTTTTGAAATTTGTGTTAAATTGGCAAAATTGCTAAATTCTGACCACTGTATTGGATAGTTGAAATCAATAAATGGGTGGTTTCTTGCACTCATTCGATAGAAAAAATGGAGTTCTAGCAAAATATTCATGATTTTCGTTGACTAGTACAGTGGAATTGGCCGAAAATAGGGCTCAAAGTGGGCAAAATCGTCGATGCGTAAACATCGTCGAGACCGCTAACTTCGCGAGAGCATAATTCCGTAAGTTTTCCATCAAATTTCATACTTTTGGTGTCATTATGATCAGGAAAAGATTCTCTATCTTTTCATAAAATAATTTTTTTTTTTTTTAAATTTCGGCGACCCTGAGAACAAGTCTCTGAGAGGGCCTGTCGACCCTGAAAGGGTTAAATACATTGAGGTAAGGTGACCCAAAAATAAATACCATCATTCATTCAATAGCTAACTTCCCAAAAATGTGAAGACGTCACAATTCAAATAATTATCCAGACTGCGACATCCCCACCCCTCTCTCTATAGTGCAGGCACAGTACTATGCACCTCCAAGACTAAAGTCTGGCTAATTGTTTTCTTTGAATCCTTTCATAAATGTTACCTTGCATACCCATTAACCCTTTCAGGGTTCACAGGCCCTCTCAGACTTGTTCTCAGGGTCCCCCAAATTTCAAAAAAAAAAAAAAAAAAAAAAAAAAAAAAAAAAAAAAAAAAATTTCTTATGAAAAGATAGAGAATCTTTTCCCGATCATAATGACACCAAAAGTATGAAATTTGATGAAAAACTTAGGGAATTATGCTCTCGCGAAGTTAGCAGTCTCGACGATGTTTACGCATAAGCGATTTTGCCCACTTTGAGCCCTATTTTCGGCCAATTCCAATGTACTAGTCGACAAAAATCATAATTTTGCTACAACTCCATTTTTTCTATCAAAAGAGTACAAGAAACCACCAATTTACCAATTTCAACTATCCAATACAGTGGTCAGAATTTAGCAATTTTG